CACGGCACGGTGACAGGCTTTCCCGTTGCTCTCCCAGCTCTCTATAGACTCTATTTTTATATCTATTTAAAACATAGAAATGTATAAATATATAGGATATTATTTATAGATATATAGACGTGATTTAATCTCTTACTCTGTGTGTATCCGTACTGTATATGTCCATATATACAATATATATGCCGTAGCATTTGTATTATACACTGCACATACCCCCTGCTTCCATGCGCTCGCTCTCCTAGGGAGACTGGATTGCATAGGTATTTCCAGAAAACACCACTTCGGGGGATGGGGGTGGGGAGAGGGAAAGCCAGATGGAAGAGGAGGGCCGTACCATTTTCCTCCCCAAAGGGCACTTTTTCTCCCTCTGGCTAACGCACAAGGATCACCTCAGAGGCTCCTTAGAATATCACAGCTCCATCCACTCAGCTAAAGGACCCTGTGAACGGAGAGCAAGAGAGGGGTCTCCCTCCAAGCAGAAGAAGGGCCCTGTGTGTCTCCGGACAAAATCCTCCCTCCTCAAGATGTGAGGAGGAAACCGGACCAGAATCCATGACCCAGAACCACCTCCCCCAGGAGGCTGATGTCTGGAATAGGACCGTCCCAAGGTCACCTGCCCTCCAAACACGCCACTCCCGCCTAAGGAGGCCTGGCCTCCCTGCATGGTCTGCCCCAGGCTGGCCTGGCTAGGGCAGCCTCTTGAAGGGGCAAAGGCGCATGAGGTCCAGTGTAACTGGAGCCCTCACCACAAACTGGGTGTGGGACCTAGAAAAAGCACAAATTCTACTTGGAAATCAACTCAGACAACGTGCCAAAACCAGATCCAGATCCAGAATTCCTGTTCCTGGAAGGGCAGGGCTGGGGGGGGCAGGCAGGGGGAGGAATCTAGAAGTTCTACTTCAACTCCCAGGCTGCCTCCTGGACCCCGCGGGGCTCCAGGTGACCAGCAGCTCCACAGCCCAGCTGGGCCAAGCCTGTAGTCCATTTCTGTGTCGCCACGATCACTTTTGGCATCCAACACACTTCTCCCTCTTTTCTCCTTCTTGGTATCATGTCCAAACAAAGGGAAAATATTTAAACATGACCTTAAATAATTATAAGGTCCTTCCTCCAAACGACAGGGTTGACATAAGCAAGTCAAGGAGAGGGGGCTCAGCAAGACAACTCAACGTGGAAACCTGTAGCGGGGGCTGGGGCGAGACCCCCGAATGCCCTAGACTCAGGACCCAGCACCGAAGCTGGCCATGCAGATGCCCTGGAGCTCGAGCCTGCTCTCATTCTCCAGTGAGGATGAGAAAGTAAAGGATCTGCCCTACATTACAAGATGTGAGGAAAAGAAAAAGAAAAAGCGGGTGTTTTGGATGCCTAGACTCTCACCTTCAACCAGGCAGGCAAAATGCGGGCATTCTACATGGCAAGAGTTGCAGACAGGGCTCGGCTGTCCTCAGGGTTCACAGATACCAGATGGCCATGGGTGTCTTTTTCCTCCACGGAGGAGAAGCAAACCATTTTCATCACAAGGGCTTGGGGCTCCCGGGCTCTGCAATGTATCTGCTTGACCTAAGTGGCCATGAACCTGAACTCACTTCCCACCCGCCTCTACGAGCCAAAGAAAGTCACTAGTCAGCCAGCCCAACTAGGATGAGTCTCAACCCCAGAGACAAACATGTCCTTTTAAGCCAGTGGCTGAGCTAAAGGGCTCGACTGCATCTGAAGTGACCACATTCGAGATGCCAGGACCGCCCGGCCACAGCTTTTTACGCCCATCAAAGGGAGATCAGGCTAGGTAAGCATTTGGTTCCCTAGGGTAGACCCTGTGGGTCCCATTAGCCCAAGAGTCTTTCCCAAGGAGGCAGAAGAGTGGAAACTCCTAGGATAGAAATCACATGCAGCATTCACAGGATGGAAGCACTGAGCCTCCTGGGAGCATCCAGCTTGAAAAAGACCCTGTGTAAATTGCAGTGGTGTGTCACCCAAATTGTTCCCTGGTTACTCCCTGTCCCAAGGCAAAGTGACCTTCAGAGTGCCTGACACAGCCCAGGCTTGGCTGGATTCAACAGAGGTCGTGAGCACCCAGAGTTTTAGAGCGCCTTGCCAAAGTTCGAGACCCCCAGGAGAGCTCGCCCTGCCTGACGCACGGACACCTGCCGTCCCGCGCTGTTAGCAGCAGCTCGTGCTTCTAGCCCAGAGGCAGCTCACCAGCTCCCTGCTCTCTCGGGAGACACAGGGTAGATGTTGGCGTAGGCCCAAAGGATTTATTCCGCCCCCCGGATAAAAATTTGAGCTCATTTTGGCCACGGCCCTCTTTGAAACAGCTACAGCCCTACCAGTGCTCAGGCAGACATCAATCATTCTCTCTTCCTGGTTTTCAAATGAGTGACCCAGGGGATGGCTCCAATGTAGTGGGTGGAGGGGGGCAGAGGGGAAAGGAGAAGGTGTAAGGCATCTGGTGGCTAGAAGAAAGGATCCCGACCTACTGTTTCTGGCCCCCGCCAAGGCCCCCTTGCCAGCCATCTCTGCCTCCCACCCATCTTACTTAGTCTGCGCGATGTTCAAAGAAAGCTCCCACAGACGATAGTTTATGTATGTGGTGGAGAGGATATCAGGGAGGGAAAGGTGAAACCTTGTGCTTTGCAACAGTATCCCACTTGACCACAATTACTGACCTGGACGGGAAAAAGCAGGGGGGTAGGTTGGGGGGTTAGTTGTGGGGGTGCTCATCAGCTTAAAGCAGGGACATGGTACAAGGCTGGGAATTTGCTCAAAGCCTCAGAGAGAGCTTTGGACATTTCCTTGCTAGTTCCTGCTCTCTCCTTGTTCAGAGGAGAGTGGGGAAGTATGTGGGACTGGGGAGGAGGCTGGAGGGTGAATGTTACCAGGTGGGGGTGCATTGATTTGTTGAAGAAGGCAGCATATGAGGCCTGGCAGTGGGACAGTCGGAGAAAACCAGTTTTTTGTTTGTTTCTTGTTTTTTAACATGCTACATCACTGTTGAAAACGAACAAAAAAGTTTCAAAAATAATATATAATATATATATATAATATATTTATATAATGAAAAGCTATCGACTAGCAGCAATGATTCTAAAGTTATCTTAGCACCAAGACCAGAGGAGTGGGGGGAAGGGATGTGTGGGGGGTGAGGGCACTGGCAGGACGAGGAAGGGGTAGTGACATGTTCAGTGTTGATGACATTTCCACTATGGTTCTCGACAGTGGCATGAGGCCTCAGAGACAAGATAAACCAAGAAGGAAGGAAGCCACCACAGTTTTATGTCTGAGCCAGGCAGGTTGGGGTCACGGGGGCCTTGCCTGTGGCCAGATCACACCGTCCTTTGCCCACCCTCTGCCAAGGGAGAGGGGTGGCTCCCAGCAGAACTGACCACGGACACTGCAGCTCTTCCTCCCTCCCCCACATCGGACCTGCATCCACAATACAAGGTCTCTGCATATCCAATATGCATAAATCAGATGTGGAAACATGAACAGAAGTTTTTAACAGCTCACGCACATTTTTTTTTTTTTAAACTCCCTTGCGAGGTATACTGGTAGTTAAATGAACAAAAGAGCACTGATCAGACTCCTCTAGCTTAAACCACTACTTGCCCCAGGGAGTAGGCAAGTGGCTATTTCTAAAGCTTATTTCATGGTTGTGTGTGTGTTGTGTGTGTGTGTGTGTAGGCAGATGCCTTGAGAGTCCTGTCTGGCCTCTTGTTTACTCCTTTTTCTTTAGGACATCTCTACCCTGTTCAAAAAAAGGAAGCATTCACCAGCATAGATACAACGCCTGATTGCCCACTGCCTCCTGCCAGGCTGAAGGGTTTGGTACCAGCCTTGTCACAAAAGAAGGCCTCAAGCTCTAGAGACCCTCCTTCGAGTCACGCATAACCCAGGGCACAATTTGCATTGACATCTCCTGCCACTGAACTAGAGCAGGCATTTGATTATTAAAGGAACAACAACAACAAAAAAATACCCCCAACACATTATGTGATTATAAAGACAGAGCATAAATAATTCATGTAAATGGAATACATACCTTTCATTTTATTTGTTTTTAGCCAAAAATCGCTGCCCTGTTAGGGTCTGGATTTCTTGGCTCTTCATTCCCCACCCCACCCCCCAGTCCTGGATCTGACTGGAATTATATTATTTTACCCCACACTATGTAAGAACAGGAATGCAAAAAATCCCCCCCACCCCCCTTACACACACACCTTGTCCCTTCCCCAGGATTTCAAGCTCGATGGTAAGGCAATTTTGCCTTCAGTATAACAGGTAAGATCTTTAGGATCCAGGGGGCCGGAAGGAAGGAATCCATAACCCAGGGATGGGAGAGGTGACAGAGGTGGGGAAGTGGTGGGTGTCACAGTTTGACCGACACGTTAGTTTCTAAGACAGTGAAGGAACGCTCATCCGGAAATGCATACAAACCTCTCAAGCTGAAATCGGGTGGGAGAGGGAAAGAGTCACATACCCCAATCCAGATACACCACCCACCCCATCCCAGATCGGAGATGGGGTTCAGCTCCACCAGCGTGTCCACGAAGGGGCCAAGAACCCCATCGCAGACCACACAAGATAAAGGAAAGGCAAGAACGTAAACCCAAACCCAAACCCCTCAACCCCCAAGCAAAAACATACAACAAACCACCTAGAGGTGATGACAAAGACCCGTCATTTTAGCTTAGGCCGTTGGTTGGCTGTTTGGTGGGAACGCGTGTGGCCCCAGCACGTACTTCCGTGAGGGAAAAGGATGGCCACGGAGGTTGCAGCTGCCAGATCTTGTAGATAAGAGTCCGTTTCCAACATCATTCCTTTGTGAAAGCTCCCAGTGGCTTCTGGTGGACACGTCACCTTGGTTTTTAAAAATTTTCAGTGTGGGCTTATATATATATATATATATATAATATAATATATATTTATATAATATATCAAAGCTTATGAGTATAGATTAAAAAAATATTCAACAGCTTAGTGAACTCTGGAACGCCAGCCCCCTAGATGTCCGGGTAAAACTCTGACCCGTGGTCCACGGTCTGCAGCACCGGTTTCTGCTCCAGCGCCGACATCCTGCTGAGGACCTCGGCGGACAGCGCGTAACTGCTGCCCGACTTCTCCTCAAACCAGCTGTCCAGGGCTCGCTTGGCATCGAAGTTGGCGATCGGCGGGCCGTTCACAGCGATGGTCAACAGGTCGCTGAGCTGCTCTAGGGTCAGGCGGGAGCGGTGGTTTTTGCGAACTCGCTGCAGGGCATTGCGGCCTTTCTCGCAGCACGCGGTGGACGTGGGGAGGACTTTGAGGACCTGGATGATCTTGTTCAAGAGCGGGAAGCGCTGTTTGTACTTGTAGATGTGGCTGATCAGGTCTTTGAAGCCATTTTTGGTGTAGTAATCCGCCTTGAGTTCCCGCCACTCCATCAACAGGCTGCCCCGGGGGTCCAGCCCCTCCCGGCAGACATCCCGGGAGAAGGTCGGGATGGCCTCCAGGTGGTCAAATATCTGCACCATGTCCTCCTTGCCATAGCTCAGGAGCTCCTCGCTGTTCCTGGGCCAGGCGGCCAGGTCGAACACCTGGCAGGCCTTCACGAAGATCCGGCTTCGGGAATCAAACCTCTGAGCCAGGATCACCTGGGTCTTCTGGCAGATCTTCTCCCTGACGGACTGGAACTTGGCCTCGGCCACCCTGAGGTTCTTCACTGCAATCCCATTGAAGCTCTCTCGAAAGTTCTCCTCAAACTCCTGCAGGTACTCCCCCGGGGAGTCGGCCAGCCGGCTGATCTCCTGGATGGCCTCCTCGATCTTGTCGTCCACCTGGGACACCAGGAGGTACTCGCCCTGGAAGATGTAGGCCAGGCGCGAGAGCACGGCGATCACGTCCAGGAGGAAGTAGATGAGCTTGACGGACTGGTAGTCCATGAGGAACTGCAGCAGGGCCAGCGCAATGGCAGACGCGTCGGCCCTCTGGGTCTGGCTGCTGACGTCCTTGAGGTGGGCCACCACCTCCAGGTAGTCTTTAATGAGCGCGTTGAGGACATTCTGCTCCCCGATGATCCACCTCACGGCGCGGATGTCCCCCAGGAACTCCGTCTCCTCGCACAGGGTGGACGCCGTGGACCGGAGCTCGCACATGAGGCGCGGCGAGTACCGGTAGAAGCTCAGCAGCTGCTTCAGATTGTTCTCTAGCTCCTCCAGGCACGGGAGCTCCTTCCCGCTGATGGCGTCCAGGACCTCCAGGTGGGGCCGGTGCACCATGAAGGGCAGGCACAGCAACCAGGGCAGTGTCTTGCGGATCGTCATGAACATGCTGGCGCGCAGGCTGGCCGTGACGTTGGCCCCGTCGATGCCCAGGCCGACGGTGGGCTTCTCATCCTGCAGACGGATGCCCAAGGCCGAAAAGGCCCGGTCGAGCGCCTGCAGGTAGCTCTCCGTGCTGGAGAAGCCCAGTTCCTGCAGGGACAGGAACTCGGTGGCTGGGGGCCCGTCGCTGCTGGTGTACTGGACGTAGACGGCCACCGTGTCGGCCAGCAGGTCGTCGCTCTGCCCGTCCAGGATGATGCTGAGGCAGGGCGACTGGCGGATGCGCTCCACCAGGTCCTCCCGCAGCGCGCGGGCAATGTGGTGAATGAGGATCTGGCAGTCGCCCTCGTTCATGTACTGGTCCACCACCTTGAGCTCGCACTTGCGCAGGAGCTCGGCCAGGGGCCGGAAGTCCAGGTAGGGCCGGCCCTCGAGGGCCAGGTGGTAGGCGGTGTTGAAGAGCAGGGTCATGTTGCGGCACATCTCCTCCGTCTTCTCGGGGTGCATGCGGAGCTTGTACAGCTGCAAGCACTTCTTGTGCAGGTTGCTCTGGCTGTGCAGTTTGATGGTGTGGATCTTGAACTGCTTGGAGCCGATGATGAAGGCCGACGTGCGGGAGGACTGCACGGTGTACTGACGGCACACGTGGCACCACATCTCGTTGAGTGTCGGGGAGTACCGCAGAAACCAGAACTTCTTCAGCCATTCCTGCTTAAAGCGCCGGATGCGGCGCCCGGTGGCGGAGGACATCTTGGAGGGCTCGTCGGTGGCGGTCATCATGTCATTGGAGACGGACTCGTCTGCAGAGTCGACCTCCTGGTCATCGTCCTCCATGATGGCAGGGCCGGAGACCATGCTCTCGGAGGCTGGAAGACAAATGGGAAGGAAACATTTAAACCCCGGCGGCAAAAAACGCAGGCTTTTCCAGAATGAACGGGAACACGGCCCGAAAGGTCGGTGCCACACCCGTGTGAAACAGAGGCCAGTTCCGAGGACAGACTGAAACCCAGCCTAGAATTTTATTATTATTATTTTTTTAATATATACATAAGCACTCTTGTTATCCACGGGTGACGGTTCCTCTCTGGGGATTACGCCTGGTGGCCGCCCTGCTCCAGGCTGCCTGCCTTTACCCTCCGCTAGTGGGCGCTCAAGGAACTCAACCTCCTCTACCAACGGAGCAGCAGGGCCAGCGGCCGCAGGAACAGATCTGCGGGAGAGAACACAGCTCACTCAGCCTTCCCAAGTCACACAGCCAGGGCGTGGGGCTCGGTTCTCTCGGCGCTAACGTGCTCAGGGCAGGCGTGCAGGCAGCTTGCCATGGCCCCAGCTTATTTCAGGATCAGAATGCAGTTGAGTTAAGACACATGCTTTGAATATCTGAAACACCTCATTCTGAGCTAAGGGATGTGGTTAAAATAGGAAATGCTATGTAAATACTCGGACTCAGCTGCAGCTGTGTACTGAAAAAACCTTCCTGGTTGTCGATCGGTTCTAAAAGATCCAGGCAGCCAACAGAAAAGGGCCAAGGCGTGCAGCCACACGTCCCATATCCCAGGTTTTCTACAATTCCAGGCGGGGGGCGGGGGGAGGACCATGTGTGGCATAACAGCAGCTCGGGAGAAGAACGAGGCCGTGTCCCGGGACTGAGTTCGAGAAGGCCGGGAGCTCCCCCCGACGAGCTGCCCTGCTTGGGACTGGGAAAGAGACAAAGACTGGGTTTAGAAGTTGAGCGTGGGGCTGAGACACCACCAGGACCGCCAGAGAAAGGCAACGGGTCAAGAACACAGCACACACCCCTCCTGCAGTGGAACTTCCTTTATTGACGAGGAGGATACAAGGGCGAGACATGAAGCATCCCACTGGGGCTGCGGAGCAGCCTGTCTGAAGCAGGCACCTGCGGGCGTGGGTCTCCCCGAAGGTGGCTCCCACAGAGAGTGCCAGGCCACCCTCACACTGCCCACAGGGTGCTCTGCCCTCCGACCACCATCTCATCCACACTGACTTACCTGCAGGGTCCGAGAACTCTGGGAGCTCCAGTACCTGTGCTGGCAATACGGGAGGTTCGGGAAGCTTCCCAGACTTAAGCATGTCTAGTTCGGCCTGGAGTTCCCGGACCTTCTTCTTTAGGCGAATACAATTAGGGCAAAAGGAGGTGGTGGGAAGCTCGTGAGGGTCGGACGCAAGGGAGGCCTCGGCGGGACTGTCGGCCTTGAACGACGAAGGCTCTTCTTCTTCATCCTCCAACGAAAGCCCCCTGGGCTCCTTGGAAGCCCCCTGGGGAATCTTCCAGTCCCCTTCCCCCTGGGTCCGGCTGACGTTCTGCACGCCATGCGACATGCTCATTGCACACCGACTGTAGGTGTCATCCTGGTACTTGGGGACCTTCCTGATGACCAGCGAGGTGCTCAAGGCCAGCTGATGCGCTTCCACCTTTGCGGATTCCAGTGAAGCCTCCAACACATCCTTGAAAATGAGGTCAATCTTCTTCTTCTTGGCCTGGGGGTGTGCGTCCCCCTCATCAAAGCCACGCTTGTATGGACTTTTGCCCTGTCTCAACACGGGGAGCTGAAGGGGACCCCTCAGGTCTTCTGGGTTATCCAGAGCCTGCTCAGACTTCTCCCTCTGCAACCTCTTCTCTCCTAGGAAGGAAAACCAGGGTGTGAGCACGTGGGGAAAAGCCCCGACGTGGGAGAAACCGACAGAAAACAAAGCAGGCCTCCTGCTAGGAAGTCACTGGACACATCCCTCTGGGGCTGGCCCTGTGGGGGCAGGCGTGACAGAAAGGGAGAGGCGGGTCACTCCGTGGATCACGGGGTCTAGAGTGGGACCCAAAAAAGTGGGAAGAATTCTTGAAAAAGACCATTTCAAGGGAGCCTTACGTCTATAAGCTACACATTTGTAGCCTGAGGGAATGCTGGAGGGGAGGGCAGTTGGAAGTGCGGTCACCCTAGAAGCTGACACCCCACCGATCAGACTGGGTAGGTGGGAGCGTGCCTCACAACTCAGCACGTGTGGGACCCCCGCCCTCCAGGCTTCTTGTCCGGTCCTGGCAATTGAGAGATGGCTGCTTCGACTTGGTAAAAGGTACACAGGAAACACCGCGTCCGCTCCTTCCTGCTCCCTGACTGCCTCCAGACGGCCCTGTGGGGCCAAGTCCGACCCGCAGCAACCGTCCTTTCTAACTCTCCCAGGATTTCGGAGGACGAGGTGCACGGGAGAGAAAGTGACCTGAACGTCTGTGGTTCTCCCTGACAACCGAGGCGGGAAGGAAAAAGGGAAGACGGGGCCCCTCCGGTGGCTGTCCAACAAGATAAAGAGCCGCGTGACCACACTGACCCAAAGCATTCTTGAAAGACAGCTGTGTCTCCTTACCTGATCCTTCAAAGGATGTTCCCTTTTCTATCTCTTTCCATCATGTGACTGACTTCAAAGACGTTGGTGAGCTCCCAACAGTAATTTTAGCCTGATTCTTTAAAACAGCCGACACAGTTTCATAAATGGCTATAGAAGTGTGCTTCCTGGGGGTGCAGATGCTAAAGGGGGACCCTCAGAAGGTCCTGACAGCAGCCCGTGGGGCTGGGAAATCTCAAAGGCTTCCTAGATCAGGGCAGGGCCCTGGGAAATGACTCTGGGCAATGACTCGGCCTGATTAAATATTGCAGTTAGGCTTCCGAAAACTGGGTTTGCTGAAAAACCACTGAGTGAAGGCCAAGGGATCTCTGTGAGCGATCCAGATGTTCCAGGCTGTGACAGAGCCCTGGCTTCCCACAGCTGGCGAGGGGTACTGTGCCACGGGCCATGTAGGAATCCGGGTTTCCTACAGGTAACAGCACAAATGGGGGTAACCTATTCCGGACGCCCCTCTTCTGTCCTCACATGAATGCCTGAGGAGCAACCTCAGGTTCACGGCCCCTGAAAGTCAGGTGGCTCTCACAGCCTACAGTTCTATAACACCTGAGGGGCAGAAAGGATGGAGATGAACGCTTGTAAAAAATGCAACATATTTGTATTACAGATCAGCTGTGACACTTGCCCATATAGAATCTCTAAACATCAAGGGCCACCCTTTCATGTCTCACGGACCAATCAGGCAGCAAAGAGCTGAGGATGTTGAGAGGTCAAGGCTACACATCACCAGGGAGTCCTCATGCCTCTCTGCTCAAAGACAAGGTCATTCAGATTTCCTAGGATGCGTGGGAGACTTTTTGGGACTCACGGCTTCCAGAAAAATCTAAGGGCCGAAAAAGACCTTTAAGCACCATGAAGCTGATTTCAAAGCCTCCATAAAATACGGAGAAAAGAGCATAAAGTGAATCAGTGACTCTAAGTAGATCAACTAACATAAATTTTTTGAATACACTGTATTAGATGCACCCTGTTCTTACAAGATAACCACAAAGGCATAATTTACACTGTCTTCAGGAAGCAGTTCTGGACTCCGAGTAATGTCCCTGCTTAAGAAGAACTAATAATTCATGCTCTGGCCTTTCTCGGGGCTCCAGCCTCCAATTACGAAGAAACCACCTTCCACGCAAGACCTTCAGTGACTGAGGGTAGCGATCCCCTTTCCAGAGTGGGGCTGGCACACCAATCTAAGCCTCTACCAACTATGCAGAGTCTGCCAAAGCTACAGGCTACAGAGACATCTCCACATCCAAAGGCCACTGAGCTCACCACTGCTCCCAAGGGCTTTAGGACCAGCACTGCCCCCTCCCCTCACTGCTCTGGCCCTGCCCCACATGATGCCTTTCGGTCTCCTTCCTGTTTCCTACTGCTCAGCCTGGCCAGGAACAGACCCTCCTTCCTCCTGTATCTTCACAAGTCTTTATGGATCTCATTTCAAATCTCTCTGCCATGCCTCCTTTGAACCATTCCTGAAAGCTCACTCCCTTCTCTGAGCATTCCCCTTGGGTCTCAGGGCTCTCTCAGGATGATTGCAGCTTGAGGTGCTTTGGAGAAGACACCTGGGGGGGAAAGGACATTATAAATCCAGAATTCAAGACGATTATGGCCAAGGGACGGAACCTGTGTCCTCCGATATGACTTTGCTTGGTTTTCTTTTCTTCTGATGATATGGTTCTTGTGGAGACTTTTTGGCTGTCTTCATTCATTTCTTCTTTTATCCATTTGACAAAGATTTATTGAGCTCCTAATAGGTATCAGACACGCTTACATAAGGCATCTTCGGAGGTCAAATGGAAACCGTGGCAAGCTCATCATAGAAACATGCCTTCCCGAGTGAAATCGGCCTGTACCCAACCCCCAGATCCAAAGGAGACAAGAGATGAGTATGTCTACTGGGCCTCCTCACTGCCCATCCAATCACAGATACCTTTTACCAAGTCAGGCAGCAGCTGTGCATTCAATGTCCACAATCTGCTTTATTCTGTTTTGTTTTTAAAAATAGCTTAATTGCAATGGGCCACCCCACCCCCTCTTCATCTTCTCCACTCATACTCCACATGAAGATTTATTTCCAAGAAGTAGTTTGGTCAGGAATGTGATATGGTGGGGCTTGGGTATAGCCCTGGTTCCTGGAACCACATGGACTCTGGGTGTTTGAATGTGCATTTTTAGTGCAAGGAAAGTCCTCTGGAAAGGAGGAGCCAGACTCGCCAGTTTGCCTTGGCCAGACTGAGGATGGGGTTGAGGCAAAGGGCTAGGGGCTGGGGAGTATTTTAAGCCACTTTCCAAGGACTCATTTAAATGGAGCCTGGATGGACATCTCACCCACCAGGCCATCACCCACACCTAAGGTCCCCTTCCCACCTCCCTCCAACCTTCTTCTTCTAATAGAGACCGTTCGTGCAGAGCCTGGGATTAGGACTTCCAAGAAGGAGACCAGGAGGAAGCAGGGAAGAAACTAGTTTTGTCAGGGAGGCCGTATAACACTTTCAGTTAGAGGCTAGACCCTGCACAGAGACCGATGTGCATGAGAAACCCAGCGCTGCCCTTCCTAGCCACGTGACCCTGGGGGAGTCACTGTATTCATCTGATGCTCAGTTTCTTCAGTTGTGAGATGGGGATCACAGTCCACAGGGGATCGTTAGAATTAAGAGCTTACAACTGAGGGCTCACAGTGGTCAAGGTGGGCATTGTTCTCGGTGTGTTCTGTGTAGTACCCACCTAACTCTCCCAGCTCGCTCACCAGGCAGGCGCTCCTGTCGTGATAAGCACGTGAACGCTATAGAACGGCTGCTCTGCACGTGTGACTTACTTAGTCAGCATTAGCTACTACTGAGCCAGTGGCACCTTCTAGCATCTTTCCATCAGTTGGACTTGGGGAAAGAGGATCCATTTTGATAAAACGCATGTGCTTGGCTCTGGGGCCTTGTCTCTCTCGACACTCTCAAATATCCGTAACAGGGTTTCTGGGGGAGGAGAACACGCGGGAGTGCCTGCCGCCCTGCTCTGAGCTGCCGCTCACACCCAGACCGGCTGCCCATCCCCCTTCCCCCGCCCCCCCGAGTTCCTCTGGGTCTCCCCATTGCTGGTAGACTGCAATTCCCATCAGGTTTCTTAGGAAGCTCCTAGAGAAGCAGCTCTGGCTCCCCCTGCGTGGGGTGGCTGGCGTGGCCCTCGCCTGGGGGTGGGCACTCACCTCTGGCCAGATTGCGGTGGATGGTTTCCTGCGACATGCTGTGCAGACGCTTCATGTAGTCCTCGCTGTACCAGACCCGGAGCCGCTCCCCGGGCCGGATGTCCCTGCACGCCCGGAAGTAGATGCGCTCGCTGTGCTGGAACGCCAGCAGGTTCTGCTCCCTCTCCTCCCGGGAGATGACCACGTACCTGGGGGCGAGGGGGACAGGTGAGAACGCACGGGCCACTCGTGGCTCAGTGCCTGCCAGGGCCAGGCATGGTGCCGGGCAGGCGTGGCAGGTCAGAGGTCCACAAGCTTGTGGCATGTGCTAAAAAGTCTCTAAGGGCAGCCCGCCTGTCCAGGATTGGGACGCCGGCTAGGGGCCAGTCCCTGGTCTCAACGTCACCGTTTTGTGGGACCTCGAGCAAGTCCCCGAGCCTCTAAGAATCTGTTTTCTGAGACTAGAAATGACAGCTTCCCTGCCTACCTCCCAGATTCTGGTAGATACACAATTCAACACCAGCTACAAAAATGATTGCAAACTGGACAGATCAGGTCAGTTCTTCCTCAGTAGCTTTCAAGCGCACGGACCCCCAAACACCCGCGGGCCTCTGCTGGTGGTAAGTGTGGGGTTCTTGGACTTTTTCCAGTATTTCACAAAGTCCAGCAGAAATAACCCATGTGACAAGGGTGCCCAAAAGGTCAATTAATAAATGCTAAAGATCACTATCTTTAAAAAGTGGCTGTCCAATGCGGACAGAAGACGGAGGTAAATAAGAGATAAGAAAAGGTTAGCAACTACTCATTAATCTAAGTTATTTTAAGGTAAGGAAACTAGGACTCAGAGAAGGTAAGTGACTTGCCCAAGGTCATACAGCTAATAAATGGGAGGTGGAGCTTTGAGGTCTGTTTTCCTATGTGAGCCTGTAAAGCACCGACTCAGAAAAGCCCAGATAACCTTGAAAGTTGCGCCAAACCCTCAGAATCACTCCCTTCCCCAGCTCTCCCTGAAATGACATTTCCAACATCCAACCAGCCACCTCCAAAGGAAGGGACGACGTAACACGTACAGAGAAGTAGAGGCATATAGCTCAAAAGAGGAAATCGTTTGGAGTTTTAAGGCTCTGTGCTATGCGAGCATCTAGGAAATTTGGAGTCAAAAATGAACTTCTTTTCCTCATGCTATGGTTTGTCTCAAAAGCCACAGAAGAAATCAAAGTCTGTCTGACTGGCCTAACTTGGAGCAGTCCAGGGTAAACAGTAATTCACAGAAAAAAAATCCAAGGGGCTAATGAACAAATGAGTATTCGGCATCACTAATACGGAACACAAAGTAGCACCTTGTCTCATTGGCACAGATTTCTCTCTCTCTCTTCTTTTTTAATGATAACATCCATATTGGCTAGAAAAGCGTCTCCCACACTAATGGGAGAAAGTAAATTGGCACAACCCGTTGGGACACAAATTTGGCAATGTGGACGTGAACAAGTATTCGTGCATCCACGTTCAGAGCAGCATGATTCACAATAATCAGGCAGTGGAAGCAACCCCAGTGTCCACTCATGGATAAATGGATAAACAGAACGTGGAATACACACACATTGCATTTTACTCGGCTTTAAAAAGGAAGGAAATTCTGATTCATGCTATCACATGAATGAACCTTGAAAACACATAGTAAGTGAAATAAGCCAGTCACAAAAGGACAAATACCGTAAGATTCCATTTATATGAGGTACTTAGACGAATAGTTAAATTCATGGAGATAGAAAGTAAAACGGTGGTGGTGGGGGCAGGGTGTGCCGCTGTGTGGGGCCGGGGGAATCGGAAGTTAGGGTTTAATGGGTATTCTGTCTCAGTTGGGGAAGACGAAAAGAGCTCTGGATGGAGATGGATGGTAGTGATGGTTGCACAATGTAAATGAACTTAATGCCGCTGAACTGTACAGTTAAAAAAAGAAGTGGTTAAAATGGTCAATTTTATGTTATGTGCGTTTTGTCGCAATTTTTGGAAAATTTAAAAAGGGACCATAAGATGCCGACCAAGTAGACAAACTCTACCGACCACCACCCTGCCTGTATCATTGTTTACAATATGCAAAAGGAAAGACATCGAAACGTCTAATATTGGAGAAACGGCTTAGTAAACCGTGGTATATTCATTCGTACGATGGAATGTTACTCATCTATAGAAGAATGTTTTCAGTGGATCTTTCCTCACATGGAAAAACGATCCTGTCCTGATAGAACGCAGAGTGAGAACAGTAACACCGGAAGCTATTTACTCTACAGTTTCAATCATGCTTTAAAAACAAGCATCGCTCGGTAAGCTACTTGAAGGAAATATACCAATGTTTTACCAGTGATTGATTATCCATTACAGGTGGATCTGCTCTATCATTTTTTTTTCTGTATTTTCCAAGTTTTCCTTGTTAAGCAATTACTACAGTTACCCCCATGGCCACCCCCTAAAAAAAGACACACATGAACGCCAATTCCAGGACTGGTGGTGGTCCTGGTGGCCAGCCACATTGTGAATCTACATTCGCCGAGCCTCAGGCATAGCACCCTTGAGCACATCCTGCCCCGTGTCGTCGGGGACAGTCCCCTGTGGACTCTGTTCTACTCGGCCCTGGAGAAGGCCATGACCTTACAAGGGGGACCACTAGAGTCCAGGGACCAAGCCATCTAGCAACAGGCTGCAGCGTGGACCCCCGGGTTGCAAGAGTGAGGCCAAGGGGGGCAGGAGTGCAAACATGAGCTTTTGGCTGCTTCACCCGTGTTTAGAGAAGCAGGTTGGGGAGGGGGGGGGTCACACTTGCAGGATTTGGGGCACTTAGATCCTCAGAACTTGCTTGGGTCCAGGAACTTAGCCTCAACGCATCTGCGCTTGTCAGAATCAGACATGAGCACCGGTCTCCCTGAGCTGTGAAGACAATACTGTGATATCCAGGATGCCCAGTCATGCCACTAACGAAGAACCTGGGGAAAGGAAAAGAGGACCCCTGGCGTAGAGAAGTCTTTCCAAACGAATACTTCCGAGTCGCAACTCTCTAGCACAGGGGTCTGCTTTTCTCCGGATCTGAGATTCCTTCTGAATGTGCAAAATATTTTCCAGGCCCCAATTTTAGTGAGAGCCTGGGGTTTGACATCCAAAATTAATCACCCTTGTGATTAGTACAGAACAGAACTGGGGTAGATCCAAAGTTTCCTACTCCCGGATTCGGAAGGCAAACCATTCATTCATCTTCCCTCACAAGAATCACTTGGATCACAGAGCACAAGGAAAAAGACACTCTTCTCTTTTTTGGGGGGTGTTTAAGCAATCATCAAGCTCTAAAAGCTAGAATTATTTTCTCTGGCATCCAACTTTAGGAGAAAAAGAGATGAGGAACACATAACTATCAGGGATTTCCTCAAAAGAGCAACTTCAAGACTACCTCCGAAACTTTAGAAAGATTCAGGTCAATTTCCCTTTCTACCACCTCCAGGTGGTTTCCTGCTCGATAAAAATCAAGGTTTAGGAAGAGAACTCCAAATCTTTGCAGTGATCACAATCTTCCAAGACAGATCAAAATTTGTTTAGCATCTGGTTATATCTGGTTGTTTTGAAACTTGGCACGTGAAATATGACATATATGGCAACTCTCAGCAAATTGTAACAACCAGTCCCCTCAAGATGTTGAATGGAGCCAAGCTAAGTCCCAACACAAATGACCTCAAATCAGATCTCCCTCTTGTAAGTATTTTGCAGTAACCCCCAATGGTTTGATCTACTCACAGAATCCTTCTGTTCCCATACGACAATCCCTTTATGAAGAGCCACGCCTGTCCCATTCCGAGAGCCCTCCCTGGAAGACAAGGCTCGTAAAGAGCGAAAATCTCTGTATCTGTTGAGTTTCCAGGTCACTACTTCGTTGGAGAGAAGGCACAGTGTATGTCAGAAGGAGGTGGAAAATGGCTAACGCAGGCCACTCTACAAATAATAGAGCTCATCTGATAGCTTTTCAAATCAGACCCACAGAGTTGACGCCCTTTGAAGCAATCAAGGGGGTGGGTGGTAGTGGTGGGGGGGGGGATGTGTTCTCGACTGAAAGTTTCATGATGAGAATGGATAGTTTTTATTCTGAACTCCTTGCTGACTTTGGGTACTGGATAGATAAGCACTAAGACAACACTCTCACACCTCACCCACTGTGCCTTATCAAATGCACCATATTTTCTCGCTGGGTCAGGAAATGACTATCAGTTCCAACAGAAGAGAGAAAATAACCCACGGGGCATCCATTTTGTTGGAGTGCGGGCAGAGAAAGGCCAGACTCAGACGGTCCTGCTCAGTGGGTATGTCTCTGATGGAAGGAAACTGCACCAGTCACGGAGGGCAGAAATGGGAAAGAGTGACCAAGAAGAGGCTGAGCTCCGTTTTCTCACATGCGTTTAGGTCTCGAGCTGGACGGGTCTTTGGGTCATGCATCCACCCACCAGATGGCCACCCAACCTCCGACAGAACATGACCCAGCCAGCCTTTAAAGCGGCTGGAGGCCTCAAACCCTTAGGTGGGACTTCCCTATCTTACACTGAAATTGGCTGCCCATTCACTTCTAACCACTGGCCCCAGTTTCGCCTTCCTGTTTTGATGTGCTAGACGCACAATCCCCACCGAAGCCAAGAAAAAGAAACTACAGAAATTTCATCTGAAGTTCACAGGCTCTTCATCTCTCTGTCCCCTTTGCTTCCAACTTGATCCCTTCCCTCCCCAGGACCAGAGGGAGGGGTCTGCCAGTTACTGGTCAGCACCTAGAGACCAGGCTGCAGAAGACTCTGGGCCCAGTTTCACAGTATCTTTGCCTGTGGCAGAAATCGGATAAGTTTGATTTCCATGGCCATGCTTTTCGGCCAAGAACAAAAGAGGATGACCTGGGTCCCAGGAGGTCAAAGGCGGGCTGGAACCTTCCAGAGAGGGGATAGATCCCTGGTCAGGACTTGGGGATTTCCTGCTTGGGAGGACCTCTCTGTGTGACTGGGAGTAAGCCAGGGCAACGCCCAGGTTAGGAGGCCCCTTCTCTTCTAAGGAGACTCCCAAAGGGACCCGGAGGACCCGCTCTGGTTAACTTTGAAAGCCTCAGCTCTCGGAGGGCAGGGTCTTGCCTGTGACAGACAGATACCAGGATCAGTGGGGAGGTGTCCCCCCAAAAAGTTCATGCCTCTGG